TTAAACCTTTCATGAAAATACTATAAAGTTTAATTCTGCAGTGAGACAAACACATCATTTCTCCTGAATACAGTTGTGGTGTTATTCTGGGAAGCTGTACATCCCTCATGGGAAAATGCTGTCAGTAATTCCTTTTGAGTGCCAGAAGTCATCTCTCGGAGCTGCCCTGGGAAAACTGAAGCAGACAAGTCAGAGTGGTAAAGACTTTTCTTTTGAAATCTTGAACATCTGACCTATACTTTCCTATAGCGACATATATGAAATGAAGAAAAACATGTCAAATGACCTTTTGCCTTATATTCAGCAGAATCCAAATCATGCAGTTTTGTGTCTTCCTGGACCACCCAGACTTATAGTGACGTCACACAGACAGCAGAAATCAAGAGCAGAATGTCAACCAAAAATGTAAGAGACTATAAATTATACCAGTTTTTCTTATGGAGTTCTGATTTTACAGTGGGGATGTTCATGCAATGCCAAATTCATGGATTTAATTACCAGGGAAAGCAAGAACTGATTTAAAAAAAAAAAAGTGTACCTTGAATGCAAGAATGAAATACTTGAGTAGCCTCCTGTAAATTCAGTTGTTTTTTTTTCATGGAAGAGTCTGTGCATTCGAGCCATATAAAAGATAAACAAAAATGCCCTTGCTCAGTTAAACCAAACCCTTTAAGACTGTCACGATTAAAGTGAAATGTGAAAATGAATTAAAAGTGTTTATTGCGGCATACATTTAGATCTGCTCACAATGATCAAAGATTTTTTTATGCACATTTTCCCCCAGCATTGAGCATTATAATAGGGCTGGGCGATAAATCGATAACGATAATTACCGAGCGATATAAATTTCCTCAAAAAAACGATAACAAGAGTTCGATAAATGTTCGAGATAATGTTTATGCGGCAAAGGCAGAACGAAAGAGCGCTAGTCCTTTGAAGCGTGCCACTCGGAGCGTTTATCCACTCGGATCAAAGTTCAAACAGCGGTGCGGAGCGAGCTTCACTAGAGCAGATGCGTTCACTCGCTGATGAGTCTCGCTCACGCGACACTGAACAGCGCTGTGAGATCCAGTGTGAAGTGCTTGAATTCAGCGAGGAACACAAATAACTGTTTACAGCCAAATGAAACGGCGCTGACAAACAGCAGAAACACTGTGCGCAACGATACAGTCAGAAGACTTTTTAATCTACAAATCGCCATCATTTACCATGGATTTACTGTTGTATCTGGAACACACATTTTCAAACTCTTCAGGCTTGTAAAGAAATGGCAGGAAGGATCTATAGTCAGGTGTGTTTATTACTATTTTTTTATATATATATATATTAGTGCTGTCAAAATTAGCGTGTTAACGCAGGTGATACATTTTTATAGTTTAACGCGTTAAAAATATTTAACATGGTTAACGCAGGGGCGTAGCTAGGGTTGGCCACCCCACTCACAACTGCTGCCTCGGTCTCTTTTTTTTCTTGGCAAGAAGTGCATTTATTTAGTCGTAGAACGTCTTTATGACCACATCAAACAGGAGACGTTTCAGATGTGAGCTCCAACTTCTCAGCGCCAGGCGCGAATCAAACAAGCGTGGAAATGATGCTGTGCTCATAGCGCGTGCACTTCAATTGCACGTACAAAGGCAGTGGCGCGCACTATAGTCTGTATCATTTCATATCAAAGCACAAAAGAAATTGTGCATGCAATGTCGTGGTCAGTTACCAAAGTCATGAAGTTTAACATTTAAATGTTAAAGCTGCCATAAAAATGTGCATGCATGTAATATGTTATATACGAGTCAGATTTAAGAGCATGTCTCTGAAATGATTTTCAAAACTTTCAAGTCTCCCTCATCTGACACACTCGATTCAACTCGTCCGCTCATTAATAGAGACTTTAAGACCTGAAGTGGGTCAGAAAAGGTAAAACGAGTTGAGCGAAAATATGATGCGCGTCAGATCCGCGTCACATTCAGCAGCGGCAGCTCTTAAAGAAATAACAGCCAAAACAACCTAATAACCAGCTGCTGTGATGTCTATTAATCAAAGGAAAAAGGGGAAAAAATTACTTTTATAGCTTTAAGGATTCATCTATTTAATTTAGAATTTAGTGTTTGATAACGTCAAATTCAATTTATGTATATTTCTGCTGAAGGGCACAGGTAAATATGACCTTTATTATAATGGGTTTATGTGAAGATTGTTTTAAGTTCACTTAAATTAGAAGTTATTTTTTTAAGTCTAATAAATGTTCAAATTGATAGCTCTCAATTATACTGTAATGTTGAATGGCTATAGTCAATGGTTAAATATTGGGGGGGGGGCAATTTTATTGAAAAATCAGTATTGTTATCAGTGATACTGGCCTTCAGTCAATAAAAAAAGATGCCATTAAACAAATATAAAAAAATATGCAGTTTTATGTTGTTTGCACATTAATTTGAATGTGTAATTATTGCAATATAAAAGTATATTTAAAAACTTTAATGTTAGGTGGGATTAATCGCGATTAATTTCAGAAAAATGTGCTATTAATTAGTTAATCGATTAACTAATCGATTTTTTTTAATCGATTGACAGCACTAATATAT